AATATAAATAAGTAGGTGGTAAATAAATGCATTATGAGTTGTCATATGATGGAATATTACACAATAATTAAAAGGAATGAATTAGCTCTTTAGGTATTAAAATGGATACCACTCAAAAACATAACATTGAGATAAAAAGCAAATTACAAAAGGATTCTATAATAGATTAGTTAAGAGCATAGATTTTAGAGCCAGACCGCTTGGCTTCAAATCCCAGCTCTTCTACTAACTTGGCTATGTGACTTGGGCAAATTATATATCCTTTCTGTGTTATGGTTTATTCATCTATAAAAATGGGGATAATAGTAATATCTAAAAACCATACTATATAAAGGAAAAGGAAAGCCCCAAATCAATATTTGACAGCATGCTCCTAGCACTATTCAAGGGAGGAGGTGGTATTCTGACTAGTTGACATGAATATTGCCATCCTTGTGGTAGGTGTTTCCCAATGTGTGGGGATAGGTTTACAGTTTTTCAGAACTTGATGATATACTCTGAGAGACTCTATTTCTTCATTCTGATTTTATGCTCACCATGGAATCTCATTTAGAGAAATTCCCAAACTAAACGTCGAAGGTGCATCCTGGTTTCTTCTTGCTGCATATTGTAAAATGCCAGAGGAAAAAGATAAATTGAAAAAAGGACTTGATAATTTGGGAAATTCTAAGCCCATCCCGATGGCAAAGACATTAAAATTAAGATATTCACTGAAAGAAAAGCATGCTCTGGAGAAAACCTGAGTGTGTGACTCTACAACCTTTTGTTGACGTGATGGAAAGATCAAAAGTTCAGAGTATTTAGATACAAGAGATTAAAGATATTGCTGAGGGTATCCCTTTAATCAAACTGGGGAGCCTCTGGAAAGCTTAAGGGCACTATCCCGTAGCCATCTCAACAGAAGTTAAAAATGAAGCAGGGATTATCTCAAAAGGATTTGTGGACCTGGCTTTTGTCTAGGTGAGTGAATCAAATCCCTGACACACCCACAGGAAACCTACAAAGTCACTGAGAATTTTATAACAGCAGAAACACTGCCAGCTTGAACTGAAAGGGAAAGAGAGTGTAAAAAATGAAGGAAGGCTGTTGGACCCCAAAATTGTGTTGTCAGGAAGCAGGCTGATAAGCCATTCAGCTGCAAACACATGCTACCTTTCATGAAGCAGGGACAGCTCAGAGGGCTGAGAGCTCAGAGGGCTGAGAGCTCAGAGGGCTGAGAGCCCAGAAGGTGAAGGCAAGAACCTACAGAGCAGAGGTGAAACCTTTAGGTCTCAAAGCCTTAGAATAAGGCTTTGAAACCTAAATGAGTTTACCTGGCTCAGTTTCAGAACTGCTTTGGACCAGTGAGTCCATTTTACCTTTCATTTCCCCCCTGTTTGAGCCAGAACGTCCATACCTATATCTTATACCTATCCCGTTGTAAGGAGTAGATAACTTGTTTCTTTAATTTCATATATCCAAAGATGGAGAGGAATTGTGCTGTAGTAACTATACTTAATGGATTATACCCAGAGTCTCATCCCATGATTTAGGTGATTTTGATGATGAGATTTGGGACTTTTGAGTTGACAATATTTACACAAGATTTTGGACTTTGAGTTGACACTATATGGAATGAGACCTTTGGGACCTTGGGTTGGGGTGAATGTATTTTGCATTTGGAAGAGGCTAATGGGTGGACTCTGGTAGGAAGACTAGCCCTCTAAAGATGTCCATGTCCGAATCCCTAGCACTTGTAAATGTGTTACATTATGTGGCAAAGGGGCTTTGCAGATGTAATTAAGATTAGGAACTTTAAAACAGATTAGCCTGGATTATCTTAGGGGGTCCCAAACTGGTCCCATAAGCCCTTAAAAGCAGAGGACTTTGGCTGGGGTTAGAAGAGATTTGGCAGAAGTCGTTAGAGAGGTTTGAAGTGTGAGAAGTACTTGACGTGTGGTTGTTGGTTTGAAGCTAGAGGGGACAATGTGGTTAGGATTGCAGGTAGGTTTAAGGAGCTGAAGGAAGCTTCCTGGCTGACAGCCAGCAAAGAATCAGCGACCTCAGCCCTCCAACCTGAAGAACTGAATTCTGCCTCCAACCTAAATCATTTTAGAAGCAGATTTCCCCTCAGAGTCTCCCAGGGGTGGGGAACCTGTGGCCTTCTGATTTTAAGATTGTTCTTTTTTAAGCACCAAAGGAGGCAAGAAAAGCTTCATCTTTCTCTGCTGCACCCCTTTTAATAAAAGGATTTGTTGTGTAAAATGTAGATTCAGTCGAAAGGACCTAGAAGGCTGCATGTGGCCCTAAGGCTGCAGGTTCCCCACCCCTGCATGAAATAATACATGGGTGTTGTTTTTAGTTGTTAAATTTGTGGTAATTTGTTTCAGCAGAAAGAAAACCAATACAGAAATCTCCTCGGTTAAATCGTCTGATGCTGTTTGTTTCCCATGTAGACTTTCTTACAGGGAAGGAAATGAATTAAGCATTATTCTGGGCATTATATAAAGTAAAGATTTGACATTCCATGAAGACGATTTTACAGTGGAAAGTATGTATGAACTGGTCAACTGAATTCTACCAGTCAACTTGGCAATGATTTTTTTAATCATTGTAAAATAATGAATTACGTTAAGGTCTACCTGTCAATTTCTTGTTTGATTGGTATGATTCAGTTCTCATGAGCTTGTTCCCCTGGGAGAATGGATCAAATCAAGTTCTTTTTTTTTTTTGATGTATCAATTATTATTTTTTTTTTTATTTCAGCATGTTATGGGGGTACAGATGATTAGGTTACGTATGATGCCCTTACCCTCCCTCCCTCAAATCAAGTTCTTAAATATACAAAGTTGAGAACCAGATCCTCTCTTAAGGTTTTTATTAAAATGTAGATCGGTACTCTGAGAGA